CAAAATTTATGTCACTGCCAAAACTTTTGGCCATGACTGTAGGAGACATTCTCATTTCAAATCAAAATACTGAAATGTTTGTGTATATTGTATTACAAACTAATATCCATTTTAAATCACTGGCAATTGAAAACTGTTAAACAGTTAAAGTGCAATTACTACACCATTTTTCCTTCACCATGATTCCATCAGTACAAAACAGTTACTGCATCCCAATCCCAAATACAAAAGCAGTTGTAAGAATTTGTCCAGTTGAACACTGTGTAACACTGAGAATGCTTAACACAAAATATTGTTCTTTAAAGCTCGTTACCAAAAGACTCAAATAAAACATCTACTTAACATGTACCTTATTTTACACACTCAAACACTAACTTTCCATTTATCATTCAGGGTTTGAAGGAAGATTCCTGTAAAACTCAAGTTGTTTAACAGGGTACCAGAACTGTCACAAGATTATTTAAACAATGTAGGCCTATGTAAACTCCCTTTTTATAGCTAGAATAAACCTTTCCCAACAATAAAACCCAATTCACAATCCTAGCAATAAAAAACAACTCTCATAAAAATAAATAGCTTTACTGACTAAAACCCATCTTTAAAATTACTCTTCAAAAGACAATACAACAGGTGTTTCAACACTAATGATAGTCCTCATTCCCAATTTGTGGCAAGTGTCCAACATTGCAGGACACAAACCATCAGTTTGTAACACAGACACCACTTCTTAACAGAAGTGAAAATTAACAGGCAAATATTTACTCTGGAATGACACATTCCAGTATGTTTGAAACTTGACCGAATCTTTCATTTGAGATGATGTCCTGCCAGCATCTGCTGTACCTTTTACAGTCAATATCTTCTTCATATAATAATTTTTAAAAAATCATAAAATAATAATAATAAAAAAACACATCTTAGGAGTGACTTCTTACTCTTGCAACAAATACAAGAACTCACAGATACAGCCTTGTGCATTATAAACGAACATCAAACCACTGGTCATACAGACACTTTCCCTTTGACCTCTAGTTTGTTGGCATTCTCGCTCTGTTTGGTGGTCTGCTCCTCTGTGAAGGTAATGTAGGAATACACCAGACTGCCAGCAATGCTGAGAAGACAAGTACAGGCAATCAGATCATTAGCGTCACTCGAAATCAATGCATGCCATCGGTTTTTTTCTTCTGGGAAAAGCTCACTTCTTACCTGATGTAAAGACCAATGAAGTTAGTCCATGAGAAAATGTAATCGCCTCCAAATACCATTCCAATATACGTCACTAATATATTCTGCAGAAACACAAAAGTCGTCAACAAAAAGCAGGACAAACTGTATCTTTGTATGTTTAAGAAAAAAACATTCTTACTTTTAGGCAGCCGACGATGGTAGTAGTTAGCGCAGAGTTATACTGAGTGCAAAGTACAGTGGAGTACATTAAAACGAACCTGTAAATGTACCAACAGAAGATGTACTGTTAAGGACATCTCTGAAATCATTAAACTACACTATTAAAAAACTGAGGTTGGCAGAACTTTAAACAAAAAAATACAGTAGCAACATTTTAGTATTTATGGATTAAGCTTAAACATACATTAAAAAAAAAAACATTTTATTCACTTATATAATGTTAATATACCAACCTACTGAAGTACTTAAGTTCTACATGTAAAACGTAAAGTTCATCACACTTAGCTTTTCTATTCCAAGCTGAGGTAAATACTATTATATAGAAAGTGTGTGGAATTTAGCATTAACCAATTAACAATCTGCTACTGTAGCATTTTTGTGTGTTTTTACCATTAAAATTATGTTCTTTTTTGTGTGTGTGTAAAGGTGCGGCCACACTACTACACACGTAACTTCTTCATTCTTTATATCACTATGCAAGAGGAAACTATTCATTAAACATTAACATTAGCTTGTTGTGCATTCACTAGCCAATCAATTAAAATATATGATCAGGAGCTCAAAGTACTTCTGAAATAAAATAATAAACAATTCCCTCAGCACTTAAATATGATCTTGCATCTGTACAGACCACAGGCACTGGCTGCAGTCGTCTGCTAGTGTTTGCATTTCTATGATTGATGGAGTTTTTATATTTGTTGAGCTTTTATGACAAGTAAATTACAAACAAAACTAAATAAACACATGAACGCCACTAAACGTATTTAAATTGCATTAACTTAGACAGCCCCTAGTATGGACCAAATACAACGTTTCTATTTTAACTTACCCCATTATACAAGAGAGAATGAATTGACCTAGAAAAAGCAAATCTGACCAGCCTTCATATTCAAAAGCCTAGGGGCAAAAAAAGATATTTAGTGATGCATGGAAGGACACACTTAAAGGAAATAATTACCTAGAGATCCTTCAATAACACAGAGTAATTACCTTAGTTAACCCTTAAATTTCACAGTTATGGAGCTGTTTGTAAGGGAATTTGAAGGTCAAGCTCTTATATGGTAAAAAGTCACACATAACACAAAGAGGACTTTCCACATTTTTTTTTTCATAGGTTGAAACTGCGGAGAATTACTCACATGGTGAGTAAAAAACAACAAATCCACTCAACCCGTCTAAAAAGAGGTAAAGAGCTCACCTAAAAGGAATATACCTAACTCTGTAAGCTACTACATTCACTCTGCTAGTTAGGCTGACCGGTATAATGGTGGCTTTGTGCAAGAAACACACTGCCTCCTGGCCTCTCTCCTTCCTGAGGCACCGCCTGCCAAATAAACTGGGCCTCCCTGTGAACACACTGAGCTAAATAAAATGAGGCATTCATGGAGCAGGGCCCTGTCATCCTAACCTCCCAAACAACTAAGCCTTGTGCAAATGCTGCTTTCTCAAAAAGACCAGGATGCAGCACACTTTTTGACTAAGAAAATGCAGTTATTTTTTTCATGGGAAAAGCGTTCAGGCAGGAACAGACATGCTGAAATTTATGTCATTCAGCTTGCTATGATTTCAAGAGAATTTATGACAAGCGTGCAGTCGTTCCAATCGGCTAATGGTGTGTGTTCTCTGGCAATGTGAGCTCACAAGTCACTGCAGGGGAGCAGATGGTGTGTTCGTGGTTGCCAGATCATCGGTCGGTATGAGGTCTTGTTGAGAGACGGACTCTTAGGAGTGACTAGAGTCTTGGGGTTATTTAAGGTCTGGCATGTAAACACAATATATTATATATAACTGAGCATTACCAAACTATCTGCTGTATGTGTGCAACTGCTTTTATTGTTATTCAAGAAACACAATTTTATTAATGAGCCAATATCCATCGCTAGAAAAAACTATATAAAAATTCTATAATGTTTAAAAATAAATATATATGTTATATACAAAAGATTAGTGGTCGGCCGATATATCGGCCGATATTTGGCATTTTTCAAATATCGGCATCGGCTGATAAGTTTTTCTGTTTGGCCGATGCGTTCGTGGCGGGACTTTTATTTTGACAGCGCCTACGCACACAGTGCACACTCTTGTTCGCTGTCGTTGTTAACAGTTCTGTCCACGGACAGAAGTCTGTCTAATAATCAGATAGAACTGTTAAACAAAGGAATTAAAATGTATACAAAAAAGTATTATAACGATTGCTTTTATATTATTAGCAAATACGCATTTAAACAAATCTTTGAATGACTAATGAACATCTAATTTCAAAAACCTTGCAAACTTAGTCGAATCCAGCTGTGAGATCTTATGAAGTGTGCATTTGTATCCTGCATGATCGCATGTTCTCTGCATGATGGTCGGTCCGTGCGAATTGAATGCTGACAGGAGGAGAGTTCAGCTTCACTGAGACACACGATCGACAAACTTTAAACTTGCGCTTCATGCTTTTGCCCATTGTCATATTCATGTCATTTTCACTGTGTGCTGTATGTAAAATTAGTGTTACCTTGGCTTTATTTGAAAAAAATGTGATTCCCAATGCACACAAACTTCCCAGAATACCGAGTGCTCTGTTGGTTACAGTGTTTACTTACTTTTTAATTATATTTTTATTAAATATTTGTTTATTTGTGAAAAATACTTTGGTATTTAAAGTATAAGCATGTTTATTTTACACATTTATTTTTTTCAAATGATTTAAAATTTCTTAAATATTAAATAAAATAAATAAAATTATATCTGCTTTATATCGGCCACCCTGCTTTTCAAGATATCGGCATCAGCTGTCAAAAAACCAATATCGGTCGACCACTATAAAAGATCAAACCAAAGCCAATCTCAATCATTAGAGAACACTATATTTAAATTATAATGTTTAAAATAAATGAGTGAAAACAATATAAAAATTATTTATACTTATAAAAATGATAAATATTTATATGCATTCTGAGAAAAAAAATGTACAAAAAAAAATACAATAAAATAAATAATAATAAAAAAACTTACCTTATCCATATCTCCTGTGACATGTGAAAATAGCAGTGTTGGAAGAATCATAAATAAAGCATTGTAATAGAGCAGGCCATACTTTCCCAGCTCCTATTAGACAAAAAAAAAAATAGAGAGACAATAAAGCCATGTCATGATTTCCTCTTCTCTCGCACCCTCTACACTAGCTGCTCTTTTTCTAACAGAGAAACAGATGGTATCCAAACAGCGAGCCAAGGGGCTTTCTTCAGGAAGTGAGCATAGGCTTTAACAGGCTGTAAAATTTCGACATTGTCAGTGATTTAGATAAATCTGTACGCATAGTCCACATTCTTCAATGAAAACTGTAGCAGTTACAAAACTACTCTCTCTGGAGGCCTCAGATAGAACACACATGACTTTTTTTTTCAGTCCAAGCCAGTGGGGTAATGCAATAAACACCGCTCATGTTGCCAGCACTCTCGGTTTCATCAAATACAAGCACAGGCATATCTTCTAAATATATTGAAACTGAACCGGTGCTTGAAATGTTAGAACATGCATATGTGAACAACTTTTGCTCAGACTGGGTGCAGTAAAAATGAAGATGTGAAAGCACTCAAAACAAAACCAATTACGTAAACCATCAGTTCTCAAAAATAGGAGTAGGATAGCAAGATAAATAGACTTAAATAGATAAAAATGTCACCTTTGTCAAATTATAAACAACAAATTAAGCCAGCATGGACAGGTTTGCAAGAAAAACCCTCACCGTCATGAACGAAACGATGCAAAGTGAAATTTATGTAGTGAATTATTTCATGACATTTTCATTAAACAAACAACATAATTAGGAATTCACAAAACTTAGTGATCCATGGGGAGTTGCTTCATTTTTGTGCAAGCATAGGAAAGCAGTATATCTCAAATAATGACTACTGAGAACAGCTGCTGCTTAAGGGAGCATTCAAGGCATTTGAGTAATCTCTATCATGAATGTGTTTCTTTCCTTACCTTAGAGTCAAGTTTCTGTTTCACAAAAGCTCCATTGGCAGCAGTTAAGACATCGTTCATTAAAATGAACACGTACCCTTGCAGGTCAAAAGCCAAGTCAGCACTGCACAAGAAATATAAGGGAACTCATCAAACACTGTAAAAGACATATGTGATTAAATGTTTGCTTTTCTTCATACTTTATGAGTAAGATAGTGATGTATAATTAACTTCTATGTTGCAACACAGTCTTATAAACAATAACTTTCCTCTATAAAGCAGTAAATAAGTGGCATGTTCTTCAAGCAAGATAAGGCTGAATTCTATTGCATTTTGAATTCTATCAAACAATGAGCCACTGAAAACTTTTACCTTGCAGCTAAAAAGGCCCCTAGAATCATAGTAAATACTGTCAGCTGAACTGGCCGGGAGAATTTCTTCCTGTAATGAGGGACATAACCAGTGACATTTTTATCATACTATTAATTAATTAGATATAAGCTATCAGAGACACTGTAGTAATTGGAGAACTTTCACTTACTTTAACAAGAAACCTTCCGCCAGCATTGTGAAGAGAATAGAAAACCTCCTCAATACTGTAAACATTGGCAGGCTGAAGGAAGGAAAACCACATAATTAGATACAAATACATAAAATACAAAACAAGGCAGATGTATTATATGTAATATTTAAAGCTGTTATGTACTGGATCATACTTAAGTCTTTTTGTCCCAAAGAGTCCTGTTATTTGATTTCCAACATATAGAAGAGGTAGCGGAAATGTCTGTAATTACAAGGTAGGTCTTGAAAAAGCATAACAAGAAAGTTGTAAGCAACACTTACAAAGCTGCATTGTTTTGCAGGCCCATGTGGGTATCTTTTCCCATGTCAACAAAAAAAGACTTGCACATGTATTCTTTGGGGAAAGAACACGCGAGAACACGTGACAACACGCACAAGTTTAAAGGGCCAGCATTCCTCACCTTTCTAGGTATGCTATCATCAAATTCTGGGAAGGTGATCACCCGGAGGGCCTTTCCCACCCGTAACACAACAACTGTTGCCAGCATCTGCAAAGTAAAGTCATGATATGTACATGCCGCTCTGCTCTGTAACATAATGTGTAAAGCCCAAAGTATGGAAAGTGAGAAAAACTTTTATCAGACAAAAGAAAACCGACCTGACCAATGCCAACACATATCGAAGAGGGGAACCTGTTTGGGGAGATTGTTTTTAGCAAAGACTGAAAGCACAGCGTTTTGTTTACATGCTTCTTCCATTATAATTACATTTGAAAGCTATCCTAAAATAAACCACCATACGCAATGTAGTGTTGATTGTGAGATTTTTCATTATTATTCTAATCAGTGACTCACTTTAGTCCATACAAAACGCATTTATTTTACAATTACACTATTTACGTGCACATTTTAAGGCTTCTTGCATTTAAAAGAAAAAAAAACAAAGGCAAATTCTGGATAATCATCATTTTAAATAGTTTAAACCAAGTAGTAGCTCACTATGTTTATAAAAATGGGATGTGGTGGTACCAAAGTACAGAAAGGGTAACAACATTACACTTGATATAAACCTTAGTACTGAATGAGTACCATATTCATGTACCATTGTATTTACATGGTACTCCAAGGATACTAGTATCACAATGATACATGTTGGTATTAGCACGATAAGTCCCTAAATGCATGGTAATAACATTGTACTTTTTGTTTTTAAAACAACCAGCTTCAGTCTCACATTGCATGTTTAAATCAGCCCACGGAGGTCAACGTCCTTCTGCACTAAGCTGCCAACTATCCCAAGTATTCTGCATCTAGAGACAGTAAAGTACTTGGAAAACACAGAGTATGTAACTCCAGTAAAAAGTCTTCTTACCTGTAATTGGTCAGGACGCTCTTGTTCACTACAACTATAAGGAAAGAGCTGATTCCATAAAAGCCCGCAGCTAAAAGTTTGAAGAGTACCGTTAACGTTTGGTCCGCCATGCCAGCGGCTTCATTCCTCGACTCACATTGCTCCATTCTGAACGCAGCACCTTTCTTCCTCCCAACGTTGACGGCTCTGAACTTCCGCCATGTTTACAGAGCTACGTATAATGTGACGACAACATTTCTAATTTACATACGTCAGTGCTGTGCTCTCTGTCGCCTCCCTGCGGCAGCGGACTGCAAGATATTTGTCCGCGGAGAGACATAACACTACGCAGACTAATAGAGAGGATTTAAATTTAATTTAAACTTTCATACAGGATATTATTTTACCTCAAGTTATTAGACTTTTTTTTTAAGTCACTAGTTTAACATTGTCCATTAGCATATAGCAAAACAGATTTTTATTTTAAATTCATTTTAATACGAAATTAACCATGGTTTTACCACAAATAAAAAAAGGTTACTATAGTTAAACCATGGTAACCACAAATTAACCATGGTTTTGCTACACTAACCATAGTTTAACCATGGTATTTGTAGTAAAACTGTGGTTATACAAATGGTAATCAATAAGCCAAAAAAAAAAAAAAACCTTGGTTAGGGCTTTTACTACAATAAAACCATGGTTAATTTTCGTAAGGGATAACATAGCAAATCCAGTGAAATGAAATACAATAGAATCTCCCTGAAACTTTCTTTATTCATTCATTCATTCATTCTGTGGTGGAGAACCTCAAGGCATGGGTGCAATAAACTGAAGAGTTTGTAAGTGATGGGAACAAACGTCTCAGGTTACTTAGTAGGGAGCGAGACACTGCGTCCTCTAGGGGTCGCTATGGGGAACGCCTCGTCGTGACCCGTGTCTGAAGCATACATTGTCAGAAATGTCTGTTTTTTTCAGCTTAACAAAAAACAAGTAGGCCTACTGTAGAACATCAATGGCCGCTGCATTGGGAGCCATAGCTTCCTTACAAGTTACCTTCACACAAAAATTAACTAAGATAGCACCTTTGGAGGACCACGCCCCTTTCAGATTTAAAGACCAAAGTTATGCATTGCTATATGTGGCCAAGGACCACAAAAATCGATTTTTCTTTTATGCCAAAAGTAGGATATTAAATATGTTAAATGTTCATGAATCATGTTCATGTTCCATTTTGTACATTTCCTACCGTAAATAGGCTAGCCTAGGCTATCAAAACTTAATTTTTTATTAGTAATAACTTCATTTGGACAACTTTAAAGGCTATTTTCTCAATATTTTGATTTTTTTGCACCCTCAGATTCCAGATTCAGATAGTTGTATCTCAGTCAAATATTGTCCTATCCTAACAAACCATACATCAATGGAAAGCTTATTTACTCTGCTTTCAGATTATGTATAAATCTCAATTTAAAAAAAATTGACCCTTATTTTGTGGTCCAGGCGGTCACATATAGCCTACTTATTATTATCTTTGGGTTATTAGGCTATGTTTATAATGCTGTTATTAAATTAATTTGATTTTGTTTTGTGTAGTGTGGAAATGAAATAAAAACAAGAACAACAACAACACACACACACACACTCACACACACTCACACACACACACACACACACACACACACACACACACACACACACACACCCCACGGGTTAAAAATATTAAAGGCATAGTTTAATTAAAATTGTGACAATATAAAACAATGATTATTAGCCCACATTTGATACCCCCAATTAATAATTTTAAACAGGCTTCCATTTTCTAAGTAGATTAACAGTTCAAAGAAGAAGTTCAAAGGTGCTGACTGTTTTTCCAAAAAAAAAAAAAATGAATTGAGGTCAGAAGACCACATTTTGTGCACACTTGATGTTTTTATGTTGCAAAATGAGGACATATATATGATTAAGTTGCTTTTAAACTTTCTCTTTGATGTTATTTTTTAATGTGATATCCGATAAATCATCCATTTAATAATATTCATATTGTAGGTATATGAATCTTTCTCATCACTTCAAATGATCCTAAAGTAGTCTAAGAGGTACTTTAAAGACAGATGACTCCTGAGATAAAGTCATATCATAGGTCAGCAACTGTGCAATCAAATGCTTTAAAGTGACAAAGGATATGAGTAACTATTGAAGGAGATTTTTGTGAATAACACAAAAAAGTGTGTATATTTTAATGTCTCTTTTCATATTCACAAAAAAAAAAGGTATTAAGGTATATTTATAAAGTTTAACATACAAATTAATGAGACATTTTGAAATGTCTTTCTTTCTTTCTTTCTTTATTTCCTCCTTTCTTTATTTATTAAATACTTGTGGTCTGTCTTTGTGGTTTAGTCAACACAAAAAAGTGTGTATATTTTAATGTCTCTTTTCATATTCACAACAGAAAAAGGTATTAAGGTATATTTATAAAGTTTAACATACAAATTAATGAGACATTTTTAAATGTCTTTCTTTCTTTCTTTATTTCCTCCTTTCTTTATTTATTAAATACTTGTGGTCTGTCTTTGTGGTTTAGTTTGCCAGTTTCACACAAACTGTAATTGTGGGACTGACACTAACCTCATTGTTTTCTTTTGTATTGTTCATTTTTCAGTTTCCATGCCTTAACGGTAAATAACTCGATCTCACAATTTATCAGGAGTTTATGTTTTCATTGTTTATTATTATTATTATTATTATAAACGCCTCTGCTTATTAATCTACTGTTATTAGTGCAATCTTTGTATTACTCTGTATCTCAGATTCACTTTATATATGTCAGTGGGTTTTCCCCAGAAACACTTTGAAGATGAAGATAGAAAGTAGCCTAAGTTTAAACGAGATCAAAAATCTGGGGCAGACAGGAAGGCTGTTCTGTGGTGTTATTTTCACACGCCATGTGAGAGGGAACGTGTGAGGAGAACATGGGTAATTCGGTCTTATTTCGTTGTTCCAGAGCCTCACATTTTTAGCTATGAATAAGTATATGTTTTAATATCAACAGATCTTGTTTAGGTGTAAAATGTATGTTTAATGAGAGGCATCATAGGGCTTAACGAAGAAGATTTACTCAATTAATGAGCGTTGTTCTCTTTTTCTCCACTGGTTTTCACATCCCTCTAACGTCAAACGTGCCTTATGTGAAGTTGTCAGCCCTGTGGATCAAGCTAGTGAAAATCTATGAGAAACACTTTGAAGATGAAGATAGAAAGTAGCCTAAGTTTAAACGAGATCAAAAATCTGGGGCAGACAGGAAGGCTGTTCTGTATTTTCACACGCTAAGCACATGTGAGAGGGAACGTGTGAGGAGAACATGGGTAATTCGGTCTTATTTCGTTGTTCCAGAGCCTCACATTTTTAGCTATGAATAAGTATATGTTTTAATATCAACAGATCTTGTTTAGGTGTAAAATGTATGTTTAATGAGAGGCATCATAGGGCTTAACGAAGAAGATTTACTCAATTAATGAGCGTTGTTCTCTTTTTCTCCACTGGTTTTCACATCCCTCTAACGTCAAACGTGCCTTATGTGAAGTTGTCAGCCCTGTGGATCAAGCTAGTGAAAATCTATGATGGAAACAGGAGAGGAGCCCAAATTGAGGAGAAATCACCGTTTTAAAAGTGCATTAGGAAAGGTTTGTTTGGTTTTCTCTTTTGACATATCCACTTCTTCCACTGCCGTTTGATGTATATCATACTGAACTACATATTTTTCAGTTTTATATTTGAATTATCATTATTCTTTAAGTCATGACTTTAAAGTTAATGTAACATCATCATATTTCATTTTATGTACAGTATGCTGTGCCCGTGGAGTAAGTGTGATAGCAGTTAACGATTGTTGATGACTAAAAAGGCGGTTTAATAAGTATGCATGTAGAAACACGCTTCAGAGTTTCACAACAGGCATAAATACCACAAATCTAGGTCATTGCCCCTTAAAAGAGCAAGGCAACTCTGAGAAAACAGGGTTGACATAAAAAGATTAGGCTTGTAACATTAAGTACCGCTCATGAGAATGCTGACTATTTACACAGATCGCAAGCTTATCATTTTCTGGTAACATTCTGTCTTGGTGGTTTTTTTAATGCCTTTGATATACGTACAGATGTTTTGACCTGTTTTATGTGACCTCTTTAAAAAGGGACGATGGTATGGAAGGCAACCCACTTTTTGTTCGGACTATATGCTGGTTTGCTTCATGCTAATGCATTTGAGAGAACGGAGAAGACGGGAGAAGAGACTTAAGGACTAGGCATGAAGTGTGGAGAAAAATATTCACTGATCATCATAGAAACCCAGAACAAGAAAGGCATGAAATGGATTTTTTCATCAGAGTCTGGCAGGTGGTCTTTCTTCTCCTTTTCAGCGGCAAATTCTGCGGTGAGTAAAGTCATTGAGATTATATTTGTTTTACATTGGAATGTTTTTAAATGAATAGTGTTTTCTCTCTCTGCTCAGACTGCTACAGAGTCAGTTGTGTTGGAAAGCTGATAGTAGATTCAGATGTTATCCACCTGGGCTCCAACTTGACTGTAGGCTGCCAATCAAACACTGAGCACTGTGGGAGACACTTTGCCATAGTCTTCAATGGAGAGACCATTTTCGAAACAATTAATTGCTCTGTAATAAAAACACAGATAGTTATCAATCAGCCCAGATTTTGGCTACTCTGCAAGGTGAAGGAGGGAGACACATGGCACACTGTTTGCGGCCAAGATTTCAAGGCTGGCTGTAAGTTCATGTTATCTGTATTCGAACGCTCTGCATCATAGATGCAAGAACAAATATATTATTATGTTAAAATCTCTGGTTTTATTCAAGTACAACTCAATCTGACTCAATCTGATTTGAAGGGTTAAATAGCTTAAGGCGCTTAAGAAAGAGACATCTGCACATATGTGACCCTGGACCACAAAACCAGTCTTAAGAGTCACTTGTAGCAATAGCCAAAAATACATTGTATGGGTCAAAATTATTGATTTTTCTTTTATGCCAAAAATCATTAGGATATTAAGTAAAGATCATGTTCCATGAAGATATTTTGTAAATTTCCTACTGTAAATATATTAAAACTTAATTTTTGATTAGTAATATGCATTGCTAAGAACTTCTTTTGGACAACTTTAAAGGCGATTTTCTCAGTATTTAGATTTTTTGCACCCTCAGATTCCAGATTTTCATATAG